GAGGCTAAGGCAGGCAGATCACTTCAGGTCAAGAGTTTGAGACCAGCATGGCCAACATGGTAAAACCCTGAAAAAAAAAAAAAAAAAAAAATTAGCCAGGCATGGTGGCAGGTGCCTGTAATCAGAGCTAAAAAAAAAAAAAAAAAAAAAGAATTGCTTGAACTCAGGAGGCGGAGGTTGCAGTGAGCAAAAAAAAAAAAAAAAAAAAACAGCCTAGGGGACAAGAGCGAATCTCCATCTCAAAAAAAAAAAAAAAAAAAAAAAAAAAAAACCATTCAAAGTAACTTTAAAACCCAGTAATTTGTAAAAAAAAAAAAAAAAAAAAAACTGTAGTCACAACTCCTGGGGGGATCACTTGAGCCTAGAAAAAAAAAAAAAAAAAAAAACATGATCACACTGGTGAACAGTCACTGCACTACAGCCTAAAAAAAAAAAAAAAAAAAAAGGTCAAACAACAACAACAACAACAAAAAGTAATCTGATAAAAAAAAAAAAAAAAAAAAACCTATAGACAAAAAGAATGAAAAAAAAAATAAAAAATAAAAAAAAAAAAAAAAAAAAAATTGACAGTAGATGCTGGCATAATTATTTTGGGTCTGTTAAAAAAAAAAAAAAAAAAAAAAAGTGAATAATTATGTAAGTGTCAGTGAGAACCAGAATAAAAAAAAAAAAAAAAAAAAAATAAAGATGTAATATCGCCTGTATTAAGTAAAAATGATAAAAAAAAAAAAAAAAAAAAACTTCCTTTATTCTTAATTTGGAGTCTCAGTAACAAATCAAAAAAAAAAAAAAAAAAAAAAAAAATCTTAGCCCAATCCACTGCAAAAGCCCAGGAAAAAAAAAAAAAAAAAAAAAAAAGTATGGCAATATATTCCCCAGTATGCCGACCTCGGTGTAAAAAAAAAAAAAAAAAAAAACAGCAGCGGGGCTCCCTGGGGAAATGGCTGATCCCAGGAAAAAAAAAAAAAAAAAAAAAAATGAGCATGGGTCCTTTTGTCACAGCAAAAAGTGGAAAAAAAAAAAAAAAAAAAAAAAGGCCTACCAAAAGGACTCAAGAGTCCACCTTACTAGCCAAAAAAAAAAAAAAAAAAAAAAGGAGAACACAACAATGAAAACATCAGATGTGTTTAAAAAAAAAAAAAAAAAAAAAAAACGAGAAGCAGCAACAGAGACTCTCCCTGGTCATCTCTGAAAAAAAAAAAAAAAAAAAAATATGAAAATTACACCAGAGAGAGAGAGAGTCCAACGCTAAAAAAAAAAAAAAAAAAAAATCTGTGACCCAGAATGCGCTTTGGCTCCCTTGGTCGGAGAAGCCAGGTCATTTGTCCCACAGAACCTGCCCCGCTGCACACTTTGCTGATTTCACCCAAAAAAAAAAAAAAAAAAAAATCAACAGGCTCTGCTGTCCTCTGTATTTACTGTGGGCTAAAAAAAAAAAAAAAAAAAAACCAATTCAGGAGTTGAAGGAGAAAGGTTTCTTTTTAAAAAAAAAAAAAAAAAAAAAAAAAAAGAAGGAATAATAAAATCAGGATATTCATGCTTGTAAAAAAAAAAAAAAAAAAAAAAGAGACGGGCGGATCATTTGAGGTCAGGAGTTTGAGACCAAAAAAAAAAAAAAAAAAAAACCCTGTCTCTACTAAAAATACAAAAATTAGCCAGGTGTGGTGGAGGGCACCTGTAGTCCCAGCTACTCAGGAGGTTGAAGCAGAAGAGTCACTTGAGAAAAAAAAAAAAAAAAAAAAATGAGCCAAGATCATGCCATTGCACTCCAACCTGGGTGAAAAAAAAAAAAAAAAAAAAAAAAAAAAAAAAAAAAAAAATCAAGATATTACTGCTTGCAAAAAAAAAAAAAAAAAAAAAATTGGAAACAATCATCCATTTTTGACAATATCACAGAATAAAAAAAAAAAAAAAAAAAAATTTAAAATGTTACTGAACTTACTTAGAGCCAAGAAAAAAAAAAAAAAAAAAAAAAAAAATCTTAACATAACCATGAGGACATAAAATCTGTAATCAGAAAAAAAAAAAAAAAAAAAAAAAAACCCACAAAAAACACCTGAATCAGATAAAGCTTAGAGAATTTAACTACCAACCTCCAGCAAAGTCAGAGGACGGCAGAGCCTATTAAACACGCTAAAAAAAAAAAAAAAAAAAAATCTGCAGCGTGGCAGATTCTGTAGGACAAATGACCTGGAAAAAAAAAAAAAAAAAAAAAGTGCCAGAGAGAAAAATGATGAAGAGAGACTCTCATTTAAAAAAAAAAAAAAAAAAAAATTACTTGGGACTCAATTCAAGCGAACTGTTTTTAAAAAAAAAAAAAAAAAAAAAAAAAACTGGGGAAACAGAATCTCTACCTGGATATTTTGTCCTAAAAAAAAAAAAAAAAAAAAAAGGGTTTAGATATGATGGTGGTTGTGCTCTGGGGGAAGCAAAAAAAAAAAAAAAAAAAAATGATGAAATCTCAGATGCCTGGGGTGGGCTTCAGAATACTCTGGGAGCGGGTCAGGGTGGGAGCTCATGGAGAAGTGTAGAGCTGGGGGTTGGCTTGAAAAAAAAAAAAAAAAAAAAACACACATCTGAAACCTGCCGTAATAAAAGTATTTTATCAAAAAAAAAAAAAAAAAAAAAGATCTTGATGCCATTCTGCAAAAATCAAATACAATGTGAAAAAAAAAAAAAAAAAAAAAAAGCAACCTCTGTTTAAGTCCCAGGTAAAAGCTATAAGCCTTCCAAAAAACTACTGCTGCTAAAGCGGAATGCCAAACATCATCAAATAAATTCCACAAAAAAAAAAAAAAAAAAAAAATTAAAGGGTCCATTCAAGAAGAGCTTGGCCATTCACCAAAAAAAAAAAAAAAAAAAAAGCCTGAAATGTCATAAAAAATGTAACAGTAACAGTTTAAAAAAAAAAAAAAAAAAAAAATCAACATGAATTAGTACTCTGAATTACATACAAATAATTTATTTTAAAGCAGTCACAATTTTAATTTTTAAAAATGTAAAATAACAAAAACCAATAAAAAAAAAAAAAAAAAAAAAAAACACTCCCAATTAAACATAAAACTTCAAACTTACCCTTAAAAAAAAAAAAAAAAAAAAATGCAGTTTTCTTGATTTCTTTGTTCAGATCTTCAAGCTAAAAAAAAAAAAAAAAAAAAATTTAAAATAAAAAAATAAAATACAGCATCTGAGCTATAAAAAAAAAAAAAAAAAAAAAACAATGAATTTAAGTGAAACAGTATCCTTAGTAAATATTAAAAAAAAAAAAAAAAAAAAAACTACCACTTATACCAGTGGTTCTCAAGGTGGGTTCCTAAAAAAAAAAAAAAAAAAAAATCAGGTAGGACCTTAGTAGAAACACAAATCCCCAGGCCAAAAAAAAAAAAAAAAAAAAAACTGAGGTGGCGGCAGTGGCCCAGCAAGCTGAGTTAGCAAACCCTCCAGGTGACACAAGTTTGAGACTTGCTGGTCTACACCAATGAATGAAACGGCAAAAAAAAAAAAAAAAAAAAACCTAGACCTGGGCAAGGAAAACGGAGACATAACAATGAAAAAAAAAAAAAAAAAAAAAAGTGTGCTCTTCTCTGGTGCTATCAGCTGTCTCCCCAAGAAAAAAAAAAAAAAAAAAAAACCACTTCAGTGCTGCTGGGCCGGCTGCCCTGGGCTGGCAAAAAAAAAAAAAAAAAAAAAAAGCAGAGGGCGACGGAGGCAGGGGCCGGCCTCCTGACAAAAAAAAAAAAAAAAAAAAAAGGGGCCAACACTCCAGGGCGGTGCTGAGACCTAAGGCAAAAAAAAAAAAAAAAAAAAACCTCTGCTTTCACACCTGGCTGCCCCAGAGCCCAGGAGAAAAAAAAAAAAAAAAAAAAATGCCACACACTCACGTCTGCCAGTCCGGTGGCTGAAGTAAAAAAAAAAAAAAAAAAAAATCCTCTGGCCAGAAGTTGCTGAGACAGGAAGGCCCCCAAAAAAAAAAAAAAAAAAAAAAGTCGTTTCACAGAGTCCTGCACTTGCCTCTCTCACTCAAAAAAAAAAAAAAAAAAAAAAGAAACGGCAAACGTTTCCACCATAGACAACTTGGCCAAAAATGAAAGCTTTCAGAGATGCCCATTCTCCTCCTGGCACCCCCTCAGTTGAGCACACGAAAAAAAAAAAAAAAAAAAAATGCACACCAGCGCGTGCTAAGTCTTCTTTCCACGCTCAAAAAAAAAAAAAAAAAAAAAACTGGATCCTCCAGGGTTTCAGAACCAGATCAGAGACTGAAAAAAAAAAAAAAAAAAAAAGTCACGCACCAGTAATACCTACTGAGTGCTCTACGTGTAAAAAAAAAAAAAAAAAAAAAGGAGGCTAAGAAGATCACCAGGGATCTAATAACTTGGTAAAAAAAAAAAAAAAAAAAAAGATAAGAGAAACCAGGAAGCGCCAATTGCCAGGGCAGAAACAACAACGCGACGAGACAAGCTTTCACAAAAACGCCAATGGGCAGCCAGAGAAGAGGGCGGTACTCTGCCAGCCTGTCCCGCAGGAGGGCGACATCTGACCTGGGGAGTGCAGCAGACTGGCGGCTTGCTATCCCAGGCCCAGGAGAAGGCGTCTGCCAGCACAGAGCAGCCAGGACAGTGGGCTTAAGCTGACTGGCGTGCGCGAGGAGGCCCGACTGTAGGCTGCCCGGGCAGGAGTGTGCAGGGCCAACCTGACTTTGGGGGCCTTTTTACTGGAGGGGCCACCCAGTCAGCCACTGAAAGGTTTCTGAGCAAAAAAAAGACATCAGCAAAGATGCATTAGAGCGTTTTTTTTTTTTTTTTTTTTGAAGACGGAGTCTTTGCTCTTGTTCACCGGCTGGGGGAGGTGCAGTTGGCACAATCTGGCCTTGCCAACTTTCTGCCCTCTGGGTCAGCAATTCTCCTGCTCAGCCTCCCAAGTAGCTGGGATTACAGCGGCCCCACCACCACACACCGGGCTAGATTTTTGTATTTTTTAGTAGAGGTTGGGTTTCACCTTATGACCAGCGCGTACTCAAACTCCTGACTCGTGATCGGCCCGGCCTCGGCCTCCCAAAGCTGCTGGGCATTTACAGGTGTGAGCCCACTGCATCCAGCCTAGAAAGATAATTTTTAAGCAGGGCACAATGGTGTGCACCTGTAGTCCCAGTTACTTCAGAGGCTGAAGCGGGAGGATCACTTAAGCCTAGGAGTTTAAGGCCAACCTGGGCAACTAGCAAGATGCCATCTCTACTTAAAAAAGGAAAGAAAAAAGAAAAAAACGGAGAAAAATTATTCTGATAATGGATGAAACTAGAAAAAAAGAGAAACTAGACACAAAGGGGCCATTTCGTGGTTCTCCTCTGTGAACATGTTTCTAAAGGGAGATTCTCAGGGGAATCTTTCTACCACCCCAAGAGGTATTCTGAAATCTGTGGGGTATTTCCAGTCACCATAAAAAAGGCAGAGCCACTGGCAGCCAGAAGACAGGAGCCAGGAACAGCACCAGCCAGCACCACACAGCGCTCCTGAGCGTGACGACGGGGTGTCCATGCGCGTGTGAGATGTACCACCCTCGAACCTCGTTATGTCAGCACATCACCCGCTGACCTGCATAACTTTCAAATGGACACTGCTCACTCGGGCAGGAGAAAAGACCTATTTTCCTGAGCCCAGAACCTAACTCCAGCTTACAAATAAGTCCTATTTTCATCTGCATCGTTTCAATATCCAGTGGATTTTCAGGAATGCAACGGCCGTGACACCGCTCTGCATGGCGAGAAAGCTGTACTTCATTCTATTTCAGCGACACAACTGCCTTAGGAAAAGCACAGGGAAGCCTGCTGACAGCATCTGAATCACAACGCCTCATCAGCTTGCAGTCTTGGCTGTCAGTCACAGGACTTGTTTGTAGGGGGCAAGTGCCTGAATTTCGTTTTCTGGTGTTGTGCCTGAGCCTGCACAATACAATTTGTACTTCAGTATGTAAGTTACTTCCATTTTATGTCTTCTTCATATTAGTTTGGATATTACATGTTTTTAAAAAACTATGGAAGTAGGTAGGCTATCTCATCTATGAACTTCATTTTAGGACAGTAAAGGGAACACAAAATGCCTTATAAAATGGGGCATTTAACGGCAATTACAGAGACTTGCTATGAATAAAGAGGGGGGCAGGTCCACAGTTTGTGGCGGGAGTGCTGGCTCCCGTGGTGCATGAGGCTGATGCAAACACCCCCAACGCCTGGCCACTGTGCTTGGGGAATGAGGGCTGAGTGTAGGCGTCGAAGTTAAAATGTACACACAGCAAGGGTATTTGTGCAGCGGTCCGGCCCAGCCAGCGCCTGAGCACAGCTGAGGACAATCAGACTCGGGAGACAGTCGTGAGCCACTGCGCGGCCACAGAAACCACGAGATCTGAGCGCCGGGCCTGCCGGTGGATGAGAGTCTCCCTCTTGAGCTGGTGGGCCACAGCAGGACTCACTTCCCTGGGAAAGGAAGCCCTGAGCTCTTACACAGCAGGGGTGGGAGGCACTCAGGAAGGAAAGAGTGACCTTGCTGCCACCACAGGCACACAGGGGCTTAGGCAGCTCATCAGCAAAATGAAAGAGGCACTGCCTGTCTCATCCTGCGAGACACCGGCCATAAGGTCACATGTGACAAACGTGGCATTTCCAACCACTGATATCGGGCACCTCCTCTTCCAGCGGCCTAGGTGATTCAGCTCAATCCTCCTGCTGAGAACAATTAGAAAGGGTAGACACTACTCTTTTCAAATCTGTGGAAAGCCATTAGAAACCTAACAAGGTGCAAAAATAAACAAAACAAAACAATAATAAAAGAAAGAAACCTAACAAGGCAGGAAAGCAGACTCAGACGAGAAAACCCAAGGAGGTGGGTCCCACTTTTGCAGCCACTTTTACCGGGGGCAGGTGCCAACTCCATAAAAGGCAATTGGGCTGCAGAGAAGCGGAGAAAAGTGCTGACTCGGAGAGGCGATGCCCTCAGAGGACAGTCAGGTGGGAAGCTGCCCCTCGCAGGGGCCGAAGCCTCAGTCTAAATCATCTCAGTCCCTAAAATCAGGTCCAGAACTGCTGGCGCTTCTAACCATCTGCCAGAAATAAAAATACATCACCTCTTTATAAAGAAAATATCATTCAGGACTCGAATTATTACTACACATCATTCCAATACCAAGCTCAAAACTCAAATCAAAAATAACCAAAAAAACACACACCAAAAAAACCAACAAAAACGGACAACATTAACCCATCCACATAGGCACCAGTTAATGAAGTTACAAGACACAGACGTTAAAACAATTACATTCAAAGAGATAAAATGTAATATCATAAATTTTCTCAGAGAATAGGACAGTATTAAAAGGAACCAAATGGAATTATAGGAGTTAAAACCAATCCAAAAATAATTCCATAGATGAAGAAAGATTCCCTGACCTGCAAGACAATCGCTGAAGAGAAATTAAAAGTCGGGAAAACATTTTCAATATGAAATATATAGAGAAAATGATGAACAATAGAGAACAAAAGAGGACAGACAGAAAGGATACAGTGAAAAGCTCTAAAAGACAATTCCAGTCGCAAAGAGAGATGATAGAAAAAGGAGCAAGAAGTAATGGCCAAAGTTTGAAGAAGTAATGGCCAAAGTTTGAAGAAGTAATGGCCAAAGTTTTTCAAAACACAGCCAGAAAATGTCAATCCAAAGATTCAAGAAGCCTTATAAGAGGGAAAAAGAAAACGAAAACCACATTTCAAAACATCAAAGTAAAACTGCTAAAACCAAAGACCAAAAACCAAATACCTTAAAAGCTCTAATTAGCTGAAAAAAAAAAAAGTAAAGCCAAAGACACTGGAAAAATATGTTTTAAATCTTCAGAGTGGTGAAAGAAAGTAACTTCTAAACTAGAACCTTCTACCAGTGAAAATATCCTTCGAGAATACTACGAAACTGAGGATAACTTCAGATCATAGCGAATCTTCACTGAAGGAGGTAAGAAGGAAGCGGAGAGGAACCGCAAGGGCAGGAAGGCCTCGGGTGGGGTGGTCCCAGCCTGCGGTGGGGGCAGCTGGGCTGAAGCAGAGCAGGGGTCCTGGAGCCAAGGCTCCCTAGTAAGGCCCTGCAGTGGGAGGGGGTTGCCGGAGCCTGGCCACGCAGCTCCTTACGGGGGTTCAGGGCTTTGTTTCTGAAGGCAGAAAGCCCCATGAGTGGCCCCCATGCCCTGCAGGGGAGGAGACAGGAGAGAGGCAACATAGTGAGATGTTGTTTCTACAAAAAAAAAAAAAGGTGTGTCTGTGTGTGTGTGTGTGTATACATATTATTTATATGTGTGTGTATATATATGTTTTACATATATGATACAGATAAACCTGTAATCCCAGCTACTCAGGAGGCTGAAGTGGGAGGACTGTCTGAGCCCAGGAGGCTGAGCCCACAGTGGGCTGAGATCACGCAGCTGCACTCCCGCCTGGTCGACGGAGGGAGACTCCGCTGGGGCGGCGGGGGGAAGAATCACAACAGCACTGAAAGGCAGATGCCACCACTAGCCCATTTCACACGTGTGGGAACAGCCCCGGAGATGTTAAGTGATGCGTCCAAGGCCACACAGGGATAACCGGTGGAACAGGATCTGAAGCCAGAGCCACAGAGGTGCGGCTTCCTCCAGGGCCCTCAGGGGCTTCCGCACAAGGACCCGGGTCTCCATGAGTCTGATTTCCCGCAGAAAAGCACAGAACGCACGGGAGCAGGCGGCGCTGGAGACGGAGAGGGCGCAGAAGCGGTCCCAGCGCAGTCCGAGGGGAGCCCCAGGGAACTGCTGAGGGAACAGGAAACGGAGAAAACGCGAGCGCGCGCAGCCGCAGGACGACGGCCCCCCGAACACAGGGCGCCAGCCAGGCTGACGGCTGACTGCAGGAGCGAATCAAACCCCCGCCGTCCTGCAGGAGAATCCCAGCCTCGCCGTCACTAAAACCCAAACCAGAACCACACACACTTCATGCTCCTGCAGGGCTGGATCCGTGTCTTGGAGGGCCTGAAATAGCTACGTTTTGCAAAGACGCTCTTTTAATACAAAAGAAAAAAGAAATAATACAAAAGTAGAAAGTGAAAAAAGAAAAATGCAGGTAAAAGGTCCTTCGCCCACCTCTCTGCCCTGGGATCCGTGGCTGCAGGTGGCGCGACGCGCGCGGTGCTAGGACCGGGGACCCGCCCGGGACCGGCTGCCTCTGGCGCCACCTGGCGGCCGCCGTGCCCAGCCCTGCCCCAGGTCCTGAGGTTGACGGGGAATCTCGGGGAGGGCAGCAGCCTGGGAATCGCCTGCTCACCAGGACCTAAGCAGGGCGCCTGCCCGAGGATGGGGAGACACGGGGGAGGCGGAGCACCGTAGTCCCCATTCCTCCCTCCCACCCTCCCCTCTTTCTTTAGGAACAGGGCGGGAAGGCCAAGAGCCTGTTCCTCTCTGCATTATCCCAGGCCCGTCATTGGGAGAGCGGAATCACTGCATTTTGCTTTTTAAAGACCAACCAAGGAAGCGGCTGGAGGCTGCTGCCCACATTTTGGTTCACACTCTGTCACAAAACAAAAGACAAAAAAGCAACGGTTTTCTTTAGAGCCCAAAAGGGACTATCATCAAACAGTAACAGTTCTAAATTTACTCAAAAAATATTCTATCTGCTATGACTTGGCAGCAAAAATGTTTTGGAGGTAAATTATTCCCAAAAAAATGCTGATACTTATTCAAATAGAATTTCCCTAAGCATTAAGCATGATGTTAACAGATGGGACATAAAAGGTCCTACGGGCAAATAAATGTGTGAAACACTAAACAAAGCTAAACAGGCTTCCTTCTAGGAAGACTTCTCAGAGCCTTGATTATTCTAAGGTTACTGCAACTTCCCAAGAGGGGCTGGGCGACGGCACGAAGAGGTCCCGGGAAGGATCTGGCCGCAGCACCCTGGCGGCACGGACTAGCTCATGAGAGGGCGGCTCCAGAAACATGTTGGGAAACACGCTTCTGAGCCACTGAGAAGGCACAAACAGAGGCTCAGAACCTTATTTTACAAGACACACACAATTTTAAAATGCGTTCTTTTTCAATTTAATACTACTTTATTTTTTCAACGTACGGCTACACTAAGTAATAGTCCAACAAAAAATGTATTTGCTGGCAACTTTCCTCCAAGACCAAAAATACGTGTGCCCCCATCACCACTTCCATTCAATACTGTACTGGAGGTCAGCTAAATAAGTCAGTTAAAACTAACAAGCATAAGAGCTGCAAGGAAAAAACAGTCACTATTATTCACAATGATATGATTGGGTACAAAGACAATCCAACATTAGCTACAGAGGATATTAGAATTAATAGCTGATTAGGCAAGGGGTACGAGGCCAATATGCAAAAATCATTGTATTTCTATATGCCAACAACAAACAGAGAAAATGACATTTAAAGTAGATATGGCTGGGCGCGGTGGCTCATGCCTATAATCCCAGCACTTTGGGAGGCCGAGGCGGGTGGATCACAAGGTCAAGAGTTCGAGACCAGCTTAGCCAATATGATGAAATCCTGTCTGTACTAAAAATACAAAAATTAGCCGGGCATGGTGGTGGACGCCTATAGTCTCAGCTACTCGGGAGGCTGAGGCAGGAGAATTACGTGAACCCAGGAGGCAGAGGTTGCAGTGAGCCGAGATTGCGCCATTGCACTCCAGCCTGGGCGACAGAGCAAGACTCCGTCTCAAAAAATAAATAAATAAGTAAATAAAATAAAATCATGTCTTTTCTCCCAATGAGGAGATGCAAATACCGTGGGGAAGCAAATTGGGACAAAAATCCAGGTTCTCCAGCTGCTTCCACTGAGCTCCTTTCACTCTTCTGTGTGCCTCAGATTCAAAAGGAAGCAAATGTGAAGCAGATAAAGAAAAAAAAAGCATTTCTTCTGTGCCATCCTCCACAGGCACTGAACGCAGCACAGTCCATACAAAAGCTCCTCCTTAAGACTTTCAGAGTCACCTCAGTGTGTCTTCCTATTTCACTCTGCTCTTACAAGTACTGTTTTCCAAATCAATCCCGGATTCACTGCCCTCTGAACATAAAGTGCTGTCTGGCTGACCTGTGGTCTAATCTTGGCTCCTAAGTTCTGCGAAGCCACTTTCGTGTATTCTTTAGGATCTGATCCATCCGTGGTCCTCACTCGGGCTGCCCATGAGAATCACACGGGCAGCTTCAAAACAAACCATACAGACGCCCTGGCTCGCCCCGGGCCAAACGCCTCAGACTCTCTAGCTTATCAGCATTTCGTACAAACGCCCCTGAATCTAACGTGAAGCCAGAGTCGAGGCCTGTGCTGCAGACAGCAAGAGAGACACACAGACAGACAAACTTTTTGTTGTTAAAACCAACAACTTACTTCCTTCTGGGTTTGGTGCAGAAAGAATGATGCTGTGGTTTTTCTTTACTTCTTCAACATACTGAGTTATTTTATCAATACTGTTTCTAATCTCCTCAACCTAGGAGAGAGAGAGAGTCATTATAGCATGGCAAACTCAAATCTGTGACCACTTGCATGCCCTAAAAGGGGAAGAATAAAGGAGGGAAATAAATAATTACCACATAAGAAATAAAAAGCCTCTCCCATTCTCACACTGATATAATTTTTTTTTTTGAGACGGAGTCTCGCTCTGTCGCCCAGGCTGGAGTGCAGTGGCGCGATCTCGGCTCACTGCAAGCTCTGCCTCCCGGGTTCAAGCCATTCTCCTGCCTCAGCCTCCCCAGTAGCTGGGACTACAGGCGCCCGCCACCTCGCCCGGGTAATTTCTTTTTGTATTTTTAGTAGAGACGGGGTTTCACCGTGTTAGCCAGGATGGTCTCGATCTCCTGACCTCGTGATCTGCCCACCTCGGCCTCCCAAAGTGCTAGGATTACAGATGTGAGCCACCGCACCCGGCAGTCTCATTAAATTTAAAAAATAAAGATATACCCTATGAATATTTCTGCCTTCATACCTAAAGCAGTACCAATCACCATTCACCAGGAAAACCTATCAGGCTGTAAAAATTTCTAGTCAAGTCCCAAGCATGACACAGACGGGGCCAATTAGAAGCGTACTACTACTAATACCCATTTTCAGTATAACCAGGAAGTAAGCCCATAAAACATGCGGCACAGTGGCTCACACCTGTAATCCCCGCACTGTGGGAGGCCAAGGTGGGCGGATCACTTCAGGCCAGGAGTTCGGGACCAGCCTGGCCAACATAGAGAAACCTCTTCTCTACTAAAAATACAACAATTAGCTGACTGAGGTGGCACACACCTGTGATCCCAGCTACTCAGGAAGCTGAGGCTCAAAAATCGCTTGAATCAGGAGGCGGAGGTTGCAGTGAACAGAGATCGCACCACTGCACTCCAGCCTGAGCAACAGAGCAAAACTGTCTAAAAAAAAAAAAAAGAAAATAATAATAATAATAATACTCTTATGGGAGGAGGTATCTACAGCTCACACAGCCAAACCTTCATAATTGTTATCTTTGACCTCTAAATGTTTAAATTCAATATGTAATGTATCATTAGCAAGATTTATCTAGATGGAGTCATAACATTATCTTCAAAAACCTCTATGTCACGCTGAAAAATGACCCTAAAGATGTTCAGGTCCTAATCCCTGGGCCTGTGAGTTACCTTATAGGACAAAAGATATTTTGCAGATGTGACTAAACTAAGGATCTTGAGATGGGAAATTATCCTGAATTCTCCAGGTCGGTCCTCATTAACCCATTTATGCTAGAGGCTACAATTTGTGTGTGTGAAAAATCAGACCTTGGCGATGACCCTGAGCACTAGGATATAAATAACTCGCACAAGCTTAGCTTTCCAATAATGGAACACTAGGCATAAATGGGTTAAAGTCGTAAGTGTTCTTAGAAGACAGCAGTAGAGGGACATCCAGCTACAGAAGTAGCAAGGTGAGCCCTGAAGCAAGATGCTCTGCTGCCAGCTCCTACCTCCTTCCTCATTTTAAAATAGTAATTATAGGCCAGGCACAGTGGCTCATGCCTGTAATCCCAACACTTTGGGAGCCAAGGCAGAAGGATCACTTGTGGCCAAGAGTTTAAGACCAGCCTGGGCAACACAGAGAGACCCCATCTCTACAAAAACTAAAAGAAAAGAAAATTAGCTGGGCACAATAGTGCATGCCTGCAGCCCCAGCCACTCAGGAGGCTGAGGCAGGAAGACCACTTGGGCCCAGGAAGTTGAGGCTGTAGTGAGCTGTGATTATACTACTACACTCCAGCCTGGGCAACAGAGCAAGATCTTGCTCGTAAAAAAAAAAAAAAGAAAGAATTATTAACCATTACACCATTACATGTCGTGGCACAATCCACGTCCTAATCCCGGCGTCTGTGAATATGTCGCCTTGCACGGCAAAGGGAACTTTGCAGATGTGATCCAGTTGAGTCTTGAGACTGCCCTGGATTATCTGGGTGGGCCCAATGGAACCACAGGAGTCCTTACAAGACAAGACAAGAGGACCAATGTTGGAAAAGGGACACTTGATCATGAAAACAGCGGCTGGAGTGATGGCTTTGAAGGTGGAGGAAAACCAAGAACACAGGCCGCCTGCGGAAGCTGGAGAGGAAGGCAGCTCCAGGAGGCTCGCAGCTCTGCCCTGCCAGCACCTGAGCTTCTCCAGGCCCTGGAACTAGGAGGGGGTGATAAACGTGTTGTTGAACCACAGTGATTTGTTACAGCAGCAGCAGGAAACTGACACACATGTCAACATAAATAACACATTTCTGTGAAAAAATAGATCTCCAAAAAATCAGTGGAAACAGGGGCAGTGATTTGCACTTTTTGTAAATCTAATGTCTAGCTTAATAGAAAGCACCCTGATCATCACAGATACTCTTGGGTTTGGTGTGTTGACTCTGAGAAACTCCGTCACTGTGCAGTCATAAGAGAGTAAAAATGGCAATGATCATCTTAGTATTACTTTGAAAAGAGCTTTGACCACAGAATCCTCTTGAAAGGATCTTAGGGACCCCAAGGACTCCTAGGCCAAGCCCCAGACCAGATTTGAAAAGTCTAAGTATTAAAGAATCACGCAGGCCAGGGGCAGTGGCTCACGCCTGTAATCCCAGCATTGTGGGAGGCCAAGGTAGGCGTATCACTTGAGATTAAAAGTTCAAGACCAGCCTGGCCAGCATGGCAAAATGCCGTCTCTACTAAAAATACAAAATTAGCCAGGCGTGGTGGCGTGCCTGTAGTACCAGCTACTCAGGAGGCTGAGACAAGAGAATTGCTTGAACCCAGGAGGAAGAGGCTGCAGTGAGCCGAGATCACACCACTGCACTCTACCCTGGGTGACAGAGCGAGGCTCCGTCTCAAGAAAAGAAAGCAAAATTACCATTTCTAAAGTAATACACATATGTTAGAAAGTAAAAGAAAAAAAACATTATTTTAACTCTTGGAGAGTTCTGCAATATATACCGCTGCTAACTCCAAGCCCCCGTGTGGCTCCAGAGGAACAGGAAACTGCAGGGCTACACACCCGCACCCAGAGAGGCACCGAGAGAGAATGGTGCCAGCTAGCATTTTATGTCCGGGAATAACACAGCACGGGGGACCTTTGGCTCCGTTATAAATCGTCTTCGCAGAAACAAGGCTCCCTGGCCACCCTTCAGAGCACTGTTTTAGTGTTAACCAAACACTCGCCGTGTGAACTCCATTTCTCTTGTAAACTTCTATGTGATATTGAAGATCAGAATGAGTTTATATTAACAAACATTACTTGCTTCTGTATTTGTCTAGGAAGTCATTTCACAGAAATTAAGTGCAAACTAAATTGACTATTTAACAAATGAAAGCTTGAGCTTAAGTTAGAACCCAGTGAGGACAAGCACTGGGCAAGCCTTCCTAACGCACGAGTGACCTGTTTCCCACATGCCCCGAGACGCCAGCAGCAAAGACAGACTGGCATCAGACAGACAAAGACCACAGCTTAATGGCAGTCAGTGAATTGCACACCTTAACTTTTCTGTTCTTTTTTTTTTTTTTTTTTTTTTTTTGAGACAGAGTCTCACTCTGTCACCCAAGCTGGAGTACAGTGGTGTGTTCTCAGCTCACTGCAACCTCCGCCTCCCGGGTTCCAGTGATTCTCCCGCCACAGCCTCCCAAGCAGCTGGGATTATAGGCACCGCCATCATGCCTGGCTAATTTTTGTATTTTTAGTAGAGACAGGTTTTGCCATGTTGACCAGGCTGGTCTGGAACTCCTGACCTAAGGTGATCCACCTGCCTCGGACTCCCAAAGTGCTGGGATTACAGGCATGCATGAGCCACTGCACCCGGCCTGCACTATGTAACTTTTCTATTAAATGCAACACTTAATGGCAGGAGATTCTTTAAAATAAATACATTTTTACAAAGAACTTGCATGGAGTTAAGCAACCAAGTAAAAGGAATAAAATCGGAAAAATAACAATTTGACAAAGGGGCCAGGAAGGCTAAAGACAATTTTAAAAGTCTCATTTCCAAGAAGTGAAATCAGGAAATCCGAGCATCTTAACTCCTTTATACCTTAAAGGAACTTCCTTGTAGCTTACAATTTAATCTCATGTTTTTTTCCTTTAGATAACAGTAGCAACTAACAAATACTAGAAAACCAGTGACTAGGCTTATGTGAGATATTCAAGAAATTCTGATTGAGTCTGAAAAACTAATAACTTTCCATATACTTTTATAAACCTCTTAAAATGTTCAAATCCAGGCACTGCTAGGCCAGCTGAGGCTGTCGAGTGAAACTATCCCATGAGACTCAGCATAATCAAGGCGAGTCCTGCAACGAAGGTTCCGTCATTAAAAAACCCACTGGACATGTGTTTTCGTTCCTTCACGTTTTACAAGGTCAATGTATTTGTTCTGTGACTCAATTTCAAAAATTTGAACTTATGCAACATTAGATCAGATAGTTCTTAGGTCTGAGAATTTCAGCAGGGCCTAAGCCCAAGAGCTGTGCTGGGGAGATAAGCAGGAGGGGGAGGCCTCACACCTCAGACAGGATCCCAGCACTGGCAGGCTGCCACGTCTTAAAATATCAGCCACTGGGTCACCAGTGACTTTCCTCTGAGTCTTCTGCCTGAGCTCATATACAGCTGATCAGTCACCGATTTCAGACCCTGAGCCCTCTGCTCTATGCACCTGCCCTCAGGACTCACTCCCACCAGTGGAGGGGCGGCAGTGCTGGTGGGAGCCACGCACACCTGACCCCTGCGCCTCAGCCAGGTGCCACCTCTGCTGCCGGAACCACCACTTCCTGAGGAACCAAGGAGTCCTCGTTCTGAGACACTGCCGGTCTTGCAGGGAGGCCTTTGTAAAACTCTCTTAAGGGGCGCCGCAGGACCTCCCAAAGGCAGCCTGCAAGGAGGAGGCGCTCCTGCAGCAGCCAGCGCCGGGTGGGAGAAGCGGGCACCCACCAGCAGAGGGCGCTGCAGGCCTGGCCCCAGCACACGCGGAGGCCGCGTGCACAGCTCCACCATCCACACCCAACCCCCTCCTGGACTGCACCAGAACGATGATTCGCATTTTTCTCATATTAACATTGTGATCATACTAAAAATTCCAGAGAACTTATGTAATTCAAACAACTTTTTAAAATATTGGCTGAAGTATTATTTCAAATATTATAAAATGCACAATCATATTGATATACATATACCTCAAAGGAACTTCCTTGTAGCTTACAATTTAATCTCATGTTTTTTTCCTTTAGATAACAGTAGCAACTAACAAATACTAGAAAACCAGTGACTAGGCTTATGTGAGATATTCAAGAAATTCTGATTGAGTCTGAAAAACTAATAACTTTCCATATACTTTTATAAACCTCTTAAAATGTTCAAATCCAGGCACTGCTAGGCCAGCTGAGGCTGTCGAGTGAAACTATCCCATGAGACTCAGCATAATCAAGGCGAGTCCTGCAACGAAGGTTCCGTCATTAAAAAACCCACTGGACATGTGTTTTCGTTCCTTCACGTTTTACAAGGTCAATGTATTTGTTCTGTGACTCAATTTCAAAAATTTGAACTTATGCAACATTAGATCAGATAGTTCTTAGGTCTGAGTAAACTTCTATGTGATATTGAAGATCAGAATGAGTTTATATTAACAAACATTACTTGCTTCTGTATTTGTCTAGGAAGGTTGGAAAAGGGACACTTGATCATGAAAACAGCGGCTGGAGTGATGGCTTTGAAGGTGGAGGAAAATCAAGAACGCAGGCCGCCTGCGGAAGCTG